TCCCGACGGGCGCAATGGCGATGCATTTAAGTGGCGCTTTGTCTTCGACGGCTCAGACGCAATTGGCCCAGAATCCGGCATTGTTCTAGGATTTGCCATCTCGTCCTGTCATGATGCAGGCGGGTAAGGCTGCCGACTCATGCTGACTGTTTCCGAATCACGATACCCAACAGGCGGATTCGCGCCAGGCCTGCGCGCAACCCAATTTAGGCGGAACCCCGACGTGGGTGAGACTTCATGCTTGGCCGACATGTTGGCAAGGGATGCGTGGCCCTGCGTGCCCGCCTAGGTCGGCTCTGCACGCGCACCCAGACGCCCGCGGGCATTGGGGGCAGCTTTGCGAGGCGCATGCGTTCTCGGAAGGATTCGTGCCGATACAATATTGGCGGAGCTGCTTTCCCCACCCTAGCCTGAAACGGCTCCTGATCATGTGCGTGGACAATTTCAGGCCGGCAGGTCCGGCGGACGGCTTCATCCGAGCCAGCGCCGACTGGCATTGAGGTGGATTGTCCCATGAAAGTAGGAAGATGCCTGCGGCGCGAGCTCCGCGTCTCCGATCGCTGGGTTGAAACTGCGTTGGACCCCCCCGAAAGGAAAAGCAAAAGGGCGCGGCTGCGGCCGAGCATGGGTTCGCGAACCCGAGCGTCATGGCGAAGGGAGGACAGCCCACGATATGTCGATCATTCTTATCCTGTGCCAGTTGGCCAGCATGTGCGGGCCAGGTGCTGCCCGGGCGCTCGGCGTCACAAGGTGTCGTTACTTTCGGGTCCTGATTGGATAACTGCAGCTGGAAGAGCCGTTTTGGATTATGACGCTTAGGAGGAACTGGAGGACCTGCGAGACCCGCAGAACGTTGGCCCGGATCGCCTGCGCGCGTTGGTCTCGGACGGCCCAGGCGGTGCTAGGAACGCTGTCGCGGCGTTGTTCTACCGGGCCGATGCGGCCATTTCGGGGAAGGGAGTACGACTGCGCCATGCGCTACCCCATGCCGCCCTGATACTGAGAATATCCCACATGCTACTATGCCTCAGCGAGCCCCGCGCAATAGGTCGCTGATTGCGTTTGTGTGACGGAGGCCGCAGGGGCGCAAAAACCTTTCGGGCCAGGCCCGACCCGACGCGGCGAGCGCAAGTCATGGGATATGACATGGCTGGTTTATGTCTTGCGTCATTCTCTGCGCGGAGTCGGCAGGCGCTGGTCCGACCGCTTATCTTTCAGTTGGGACGCCATGCGGTCCTGGCTGGAGAAGTCTCAAGGACGTACTGGGCGTGCCTCGAGGCCGGGGCGCGCGCCTGGCTGGAGAGTCAGGCTGGAGAGTCAGCGTCTGGATGTCAAGGCCCCATCCGGCCCGAAGGACATAGTCCCTGGAGGCGGCGGGCTTGATATCGAAGATGACGGAACCGTGGGTCCTAAGTCTCCGGCTCCGTCTGGCGTTTTGCAGGCCGCTGCTTCCAAACTCTGGGCGAAGATATCATGTGGCGCGTGGATGGCGAGGCGCGACTTGCTGAGGGCCGTCTGCGCCGTTGCGCCCCGCGTTGCAAAGTGGACGGAACAACGGGGCATGGCATTTTCCGTCCTCTATGCTGCATCAGGTCGGCGGCGTACTTTTGGGTGGCGCCGTGGGTCGGTGGCCCGCTTCCAGACGCAAGTTTGGGGCAGCGTGCGGATGCCGGCCTGGCGAGCGTCATCTGGGCCCATCGTTGCGCTAGCGCGAATTCCCAACAGCTGCGGGGACCAAACGCTAGAGCATTCCAGAAGACAGACGGCGACGTTACATAGCACATAGCACGCTAGAGGCGGCAATCGCCTCGGCTGACGAAGCTATTCGGAGTGATCTGCCCCCGGCATTGCCGTCGCGGAAAGCGCTGCTTGGACGGCGTCCGAGAGCTGAGTTTATGCGGTCAGGTTAGCTGCATATCTTGCCACTGTACTGGTCTCTGTTCACTTCTCCCTCTCACGGTGTACCGCGCGTACTTTTTGTTGAGTTGGCATGAGTTTTTACATGGGTGCCATGGGATTGACGCGACGGCTGTGGCCGAAGAGTTCGCGCGAGGTACGATGGATTTGGCCTATTGCCCCGCGCGGGATCACGCTGCGGGCGTGGGGCGAAGAGGTTTGAGCGACCTCGTCATGTGCCACAGTCATTCACCCAATTCAGGTGTCTGGGATTCACCTTGCTAATAGGAGCACATGGGCCCCTATTCATAGGCGACGTGGCCTTGCCCTTGAAACCGGGGGGCATCCTGAAGCCCATGTTGGGAGCGCGGTCGGCATTGCACCGGGTGCAAAAGTAGCAAGTAAAAGGCGGCAAAGAACCCAAAGGAAATAACATATATAAACCGCCTGCTGATGCTTCGCAGCGCGCGCGTGGCGGAGTGGTAAAGGTGCTGTCTGAGGCGCCTGCCACACATTCGCGCGACAGTGTCACGCGGCGCACATAGGGCACCACGAATAACGACGCCGTCGGAGCTGCTGCTGACCGTGGTCCGTCGGGCCAGGTGCCGCGCGAGGGTCACATTGGCCCGAGTCGGCTGATGCTGGAGTTCTCTTGTGGAGCTGGCAGCATGTTAGGAAACCAAGTAAACATCAACGATGCGAATTGTGAAGTGGTCAGACTAACCGAGCAAAAGGATACGACCTTTACTACAGGGATAGGACGCAATGAAAAGCAGCTCAAGAACTTCAGGGGCGACTGTCGTCCAGTGGGGCTCAAAGCCTTCTGCGGATGGCCCCCCATGGCAATGCGTTGGTGACAATCTGTTCCACTGCAGCGGCGTTGCCACAGCTTTGAGGAGACGACGCGGTCTCACAACAATGTTTCCGCTATTGTTTTGGGCATGTCTCGCGTTTGTTGGATGCGTTTTCGAGTGGACACGAATTATATGACTAGCATGGCCGGCCCCGTGTTAGTATTGGCGTGACCCACAGGTTAAATAATGCCTTAGCAGGCGTAGCGTGATCAAGGTGTGCTTGCATGGATGCGTATGTGGTCTTGCTGACAGTTCGAGGTCATTACATGGGAAATCCATGGGCGATTGCGACTACTCGGTGGCTCTTGCCAAGGGGTTAGAGAGACAGCGTGATGGATCACACAGCAGGCTTACAGAGGATTATGCAGATGCGTTTGCTCGGCGCTTGCATCATTTGGTCGTTGTATCCATGTTGCCATCTGTCGCTGCCGTTGTTGTCGTCGTTTTGTCGTCGCGTGCCGCGCCTGCCGCTGCCGCATTGGCTCGCAGCGACTCGGGCGCCCGCTCCGCTCCTGCGACGCTCCGAAGCCTCCGGACCGCCGCCGCCATGGTGCCGCTGCCGTCAGTTCAATTGCCTCGCGGATTCCGCGAACCCAACCAACTGGGCCAGGTTTGCACCATGCCTGCTTGCCTGCGAGGTCTGCTTCTTTGAGTCTTGCGCGCGAACTCGATGGGTTCGCGCGAACGAAGGAAATAATCAGCGCGCGGCGAGACTGTCTCGCGCGCCTCCAGCAGGAGCCGCGGCCACAAGTTCGCAAAGAGGACGAGCTGAGCATATGCCGTTCTCTTTCGCGTCTGGTCAACTTCGTGGGATATGGGCGGCGATGCTAGCAAACGGCTACGACGCTCCCGCGTCGTTCGGACATCCACCAAGGGCGATCAGTCGGGATCTGAACATGACGTGGCGTGAGTTCGACAACGCGGTCGAAGAAGTTCGGGAAGTTGTAGTGCTGCCGAAGGACATCATGAGCGATCCGCAGCAGGGGAAGCAGCATCGGGCTTGGTGTTCTCCGAAAAACAATCGCGGATTCGCGGATGTTTTCAGTCCCGTCCGCGCTACTTCATCGATGGGGCCCCGTTGGACGTGGGTAAGGGCTGCAGGTCGCGATGAGAACGTCGTCGACGATGGTCGAGGCAACGAGCGTCAGAATGAGGGGTTCATCGAGAGAGCCGGCGGTGAATGGGAGTCGCGGCTGCGAATTGGCATCGAGACTTTGCCTGCATGTCTGCGGGTTGCCAGCCTAAAGAAGAAGAAGAGAAGGCCTACCAGGAGCACTACATTGTCAGGCTCCGTGGTCCCAAGTGTCAGTCGGGAGCTATAGACCCGAACCAAAAGGCCGCGCTGCTAGAGTTTCTCCTCGAGTCCTCCTGCAAGTTCCAGGGTGGTCTTGATAACCTGCCGACTGGCCTGTGGAAGGTCTGGTGGAACCGCGCGATGAATGGGGCGGCCCAATGGATCGAGGGGCTGCAATGCGTCGGACTTGGATGCACTTTCCCGGCATTTGACGGCGACAACCCTTGGTATTGCCCAGGAAAGACGGCGATCGCAATCAAGAACATGCCAGCGGTCTTCCCCAGCAAATGGGCAGACGAGAACGCCGACTGCGCGTCCTGTTTTGCGCGGCCAGGTATGTTCCCTGTCGCCTGCGCCGTGAAAAGCTTTTTGGGGGTGGCGCGGCGGGGGGCCCACAGTGGCCTTGCTGGGAGAAAGGGTGCAGGCTGTCCAACGCTCTCGGGACTTGTTGAAGGTTGTTCGGCATGTCTCGCTTCTTCAGCTTGGGATGTTAGCCGATGTGCTGACGTCCGCCCTGGCGTGACAATGTCGCGCTGTGTGGCCGCGGGGGGAGTCATTGCTGACTGTCTCTCCGCCTATTTATGTAGCCCTCCGCTCTTTTGTCTTGCAGAGCGTTGGCAGGGCATAGATCATGCGGACGGGCTGTTTCCGAATAGTTATGTGTATAGTTACTCAAGCAAACAAGGGCGCGCCGGCCGGCCGGGCGGGCTGGCCATGCGCGCGGGTGAACAGACACATCTCATTTCGTTTAGAGTATCTTCGCTTATCGGACTCACCCAGCCATGTCCTCACTACTTCGTAGTACGGGGTAGTTTCTCGTGAGCTATCAGGAGAATCGTATACACGGGTATAAGGTCGTATCTATACCAAGACACATTTGTCGAACATGACGTTCGGTGGGCAGAACGCTCATACGCTGTCGTTCGCCGCGCCTCCGCGGCTTGCCGCGCTGCCAGGCCGACGACCACTACTGGGCCGAGGATGCCATTCGCCGCCCGTTCCTGTTCACAGGGTGGTGTTACGGGCCGCCGCCTGGTCCCGGGCAGACCCTGCCGATGACGAGGACGATGACGATGACGAGGAGGAAAAGAAAACGAAGAGGAGGAGGAGGAAGAGGAGGGAGACGAAAAAGGGGAGGAGGAAGAGGAGGAGGAGGAGGAGGGGGAGGAAGGGGAGGAGGAGGGGAAAAAGGGTGAGGAGGAGGAGGCTCTGCTTGAGGGTATCCGCGGCATCGCCACGCGAGGGATCTCAATTTTAATTGACAGCTGTCGTTTTTTCGTCCTTTTCGCTTCCCGGCTCCCTCCTCCTCATGCCTCTCCTCTCGTTGCTCGCCGTTTCCTTCTGTCCCCGGCCCCTCCGCCCATCCTCTTGCTGCTATTGATCCGTAAGGGCTTCGCCCCCTGCCGCCGGCCCCCTCTCTCGGAGAATGGGCCATGGAAGAGCTAAGTCATGAGGCCTTGGCGCTGTCGTGAAGCAGTATCGAAACTTCATGCGAAGCCGAGTCGCAATCAGCAAAACCAACTGATCACAAGAGGGGTTACCACACCTGGCGATTGGTAAGACGTGTATGGTTTAAGGGCTTGGTTACCACACCTTGCGATGAAAGGGCCGAGGGAGTTCTCGCAGTTTGGGTTACCACGCCTTGCGATGGATGTGCGTGATGGGTTTGAATTTCAGAAATGTGGCAAATCCCGTGTGTTTTTGGACCCTGACCCCGCGGATCTGCGTAAGGGGTGGCGCCGAATTTCAGAAATGTGGCAAATCCCCTGTGTTTTTGGACCCTGACCCCGCGGATCTGCGTGAGGGGTGGCACCGAATTTCAGAAATGTGGCAAATCCCTGTGTTTTTGGACCCTGACCCCGCGGATCTGCGTGAGGGGTGGCACCGAATTTCAGAAATGTGGCAAATCCCATGTGTTTTTGGACCCTGACCCCGCGGATCTGCGTGAGGGGTGGCACCGAATTTCAGAAATGTGGCAAATCCCATGTGTTTTTGGACCCTGACCCCGCGGATCTGCGTGAGGGGTGGCACCGAATTTCAGAAATGTGGCAAATCCCATGTGTTTTTGGACCCTGACCCCGCGGATCTGCGTGAGGGGTGGCACCGAATTTCAGAAATGTGGCAAATCCCATGTGTTTTTGGACCCTGACCCCGCGGATCTGCGTGAGGGGTGGCACCGAATTTCAGAAATGTAGCAAATCCCGTGTGTTTTTGGACCCTGACCCCGCGGATCTGCATGAGGGGTGGCACCGAATTTCAGAAATGTGGCACATCTCCTGTGTTTTTGGACCCTGACCCCGCGGATCTGCGTGAGGGGTGTAGATTTCGAGCCCCCCCAGTAATTCAGATAACGCGCCCAGGGGACGCTGGAAAATCCTGTTTGGGCCTCCCCCCCCTCGCGCGGTCAATCAACTAGTTACAGTAACCAGCAAGAAGTCAACTAGTTACAGTAACCAGCAAGAAGCAGAACTGTAACACTGGAAACTAGAAACTACAACTGGTACCGGAAACTGCGAATCACGCGCCTCGCAGCCTGGTGGCCCCACAAGGGGGCCGGCGGATCTCTCCGCCCCCCTGTCTGCTTTCGTTGAATGGCAGTAGTCTGGGCGCTTCTGACAGGTCTCTCCTGCGCTGCCACGCTGGCATCGGATGATGCGGATGTCGGGCGCGAGTCCCCCAGGAGTCATGCGCCGAAACTTTCAGGGTGTCCCTCCGATGTTCCGCCGCCCCCAGGAGATGAAAGTAAAACTCGACCAGGTCAGCTCAGCGCCCGCGCAAATGCAGGAGGAAGGGGAGGGAGAGGACGGAAAGGGAGAAGGGGGATGACGCTCATCATACGAAATGAGGAGAAGTATAACGAGGCGATCCAGGGGGAGGAGGATGATGATGATATTGAGGATGATGCTGATCATGTCGATGATGATGAACATGCTGATTATGATGAAGGTGATGATGATGATGATAATGATGATGATGCAGGTCATGCTGACGACGACGATGATGCCTATATATAGTGATGATGATGGTGATGGTAATGGTAATGATGGTGTCCATGGCGATGACGATGACGATGCTGATGAGTATGATGCTGATGATAGTGATGAGTATCTCGATGATGATGCTCTTGATGTTGGTGATGACCATGATGATCATGTTGATACCAATTATGATGATGAGGACGATGATGCTGATGATGGTGATGACGCTGTTGTTGCTAATGATGATGCCGCTGATGATGCTGGTGATGCTGCTGCTGCAACTGGCGACGATGATGCCGATGACAATGATGATGCTGATGATGATGATGCTGGTGATGATGATGATGATGATGATGATGATGATGCTGATGCTGATGATGATGATGATGATGATGATGATGATGATGGTGCTGCTGCTGCTGATGATAATGCGGACGATGATGTTGAGGTTGATGGGGGGAGGCCGGTGGCGATGCTGCTTTCCAGTAGAGGAAGATGAGTAGCATGAGTATGACGAGGGTGAATGTCCTGATGCTGAATGCGATGATGCTGACGGTGATTGTAATGGTGATGGCGATGGTGATGGTTCTGATGATGATATGGACGAGGGTGAGGAGGAGGATGAACAGGATGAGGATTCCTGCCCGCGCAACCGTGGAGTCCACCCTGCCGCGCATTCGAAGGATCTAATTCCTACATGTCCTCACACGTGTGCGAGGCCGCTCGTGTTTAGGTGCTCCCCTCCATTTTGGCGTGCGGCGACGGCAGCCAGGACGAGGTGGAGCGCGTGCTTTCCTCGCTGCTCGGCAAGTGGAAGGACGGCGCCGCGGACAAGCAGCCCTCGGAGTACGAGGCTTCTCTTTTTGGCTGGCAAACCATTTCGTTAGCAGTCTCACCATGCGCCGCTTCGTGCACATCGATGGCCAGAGGTAGAACCCTGAGATGACCCCAAAGGGTTCGAAGGGGAAGAGGCAGATGAGGACGAGGGGGGTGATGATGATGCTGATGATGATGACGATTATGATGGTGATGATTGTGGTGGTGATGGTGCTGGTGATGGTCATGGTGATGATGATGATGGTGATGATGATGATCATGACATGATGATAATGATAATGATGATGATGACGATGATGAGAAAACTGAAGATGATGCTGGCGACGATGATGATGATGGTGGTTGTGATGATGTCGATGCTGATTTTGAGTATGATCATGGTGATGCTGATGATGATGCTGCTGATGATGATCATGATGATCATGTTGATCATGATGATCATGATGATAATGATGATGCTGGTCCTCATGATGCTACTGATGGTGTTGCTAATGATGATGATGCTGATGCCGCGGATAACGATGATGATGCTGCTGATGCTGATTATCATGATGGTGATGTTGATGCTGGTGATGATGCTGATGCTGCTGATGACGGTGATGCTGATGATGATGGTGATGATGCTGCTGACGATGATGATGATGATGATGATGACGATGCTGATGATGATGATGCTATTAGTGATGGTGGTGGTAATGATTATGATACTGATGCGGATGATGGTGCTGCTGCTGATGATGTTGATGCTTGAGATGATGACACTGATATCATGATGATGAAGATGATGATGCTGCTACTGATAATGATGAGGTTGTTGTTGTGTTTGATGATGATGATGATGATGATGTTGATGATGATGTTGAACATGATGACGATTGTGATGGTGATGATGATGGTGATGGTGAAGATGGTGATGATGCTGATGAAGATGATGCTGTTGTATGATGATGATGCTGATGATGATGATGATTCTGATTATGATTTTGATGATTATGATGACTGCACCCCCTGTTGCTGCTGCTGCTGCTGCTGCTGAGTAGGAAGAACAGAAGCAGGAGGAGGAGGGAGGGGAAGGGGAGAGGGTTGATGATGAGGACGATTCTGGTTGCACTGCAGGGACGCCAGAGTACGGAACATTTCGTTTTCGGAACGTGCTCGCTGTTCCTGAGGTCGTTCTATGGTTGCTCCCCCGATTCTCCTCGTGTACGCAGGCGCCTTCCAGGGCAAAGACGAAGATTTGTTCCTCAGCCAACCGTTTTGCATATTCCGCGTGTCCATGTTGTAGCGTCGTTGTCATTTGTCTGCGTGCTTGTGGCGACTGGGACGTCGTCGGGCGGTGGCGGTATCTTCGAGCTTTCGCGTGAAACCTGCGCTAGGGAGCAGCATGCGCTTGGTAGAACGAGGGCGACGGTCAACGGAGCACGACCCCACCCAAATTTACCATCGATGTTACAGCATGATATTGTATTATTAGTTCAGACCATCCAGATGTTTCTGTTGCGCTTAGCTGATGTCGTGGGCTTTCAGACCAGATTGGGACTGTCGGGGCTTGTTTAGCTCTTTCTTTGACCTCCAACGGTGCGTGTGAAATTGTAAATGGTTCCTGCTGGAGCGGAAAACTCACGACAAGTGTTGTGATTCTTGGGGGCGTTTCGGGTGCGTTTTTGACCCTTTTCGGGGTTCCTGTGCTGCCTTGGGGCCCTCTTGGGCCGTCTTTGGGCCCTCTTTGCCATCTGAGACGCCTCTTGCGGCCGTCTTGGGGCGGTCTTAGTCTTCTGGGACTATCGAGGAGCCTTCTGAACGCACTCGTGGACCAGCTTGGAGCTCTCTTGGAGCCGCCCTGGGCCGTCAAAGGGCTCGTTTGGGCTGTATTGATGCTGTTTCGGAGTCCTAGGCAATTTTCGCGGAGGTCTCCTGAGACTCTCTGGGAGCTTTCTGGGGGCTTCTGGGAGCTTTCTGGGGGCCTCTGGAGGCCTCTTGGAGCTTTCTGGGGGCCTGGATGCGGTCTAGGGGGCCATCTTGGGGTAGTGTGCCCCAGTGGTCCCTTCTAGTTCCCTCTCCTCTTCCGGGGGCCTCTCTCGGGGTCACTCTTGTGGGCCTGATGGGGGCCTTTTGGACCCCTGTTGGCTCTCGGGCTGTCTTGGCTGTCTAGGCGATCTCTCGGATGCCTCTTGGGCCGTCTTGGATGATTTTGGTGACATACAGGGTCTGATGCATTGAATCAATGTTGGCCTCCTGCGCCGGCCCCGAGGGTCCAAGGGCCTGCCCCCCGGAAAGCCCCAGGACGGTTCCTTAGGGCCACCGAGGGTTTCTGAGCATGTGCGAGCGTTTCTTGGAAAGCTCTTGTGGGACTCGTTGGTAGCGCCCAGGAGCATCCAAGAATTTTTCAGCAGAGTGCCCCGATCCTTGGGAATCGTACAAGTCCTCCAGCACTCACATCTGCATGAGCCTTCGAACACTCAACCACGTGCTGAAGGCACGGCCCGTGTGGCGTATCCCTGCGTTTCTTCCTGCGTTTCTTAATTGTCTTCTTTTTGTGTTTGTCTTGTTCCTCTCATTCCTGCTTCTTTCTCATCTTCGTCGTTGTCCTCTCCTCATGATCCTCTCGCTTCCTCCGCTCGCTCCTGTGGAATCCTTCCTCCTTCATCCTGCTACTCCTCCATCCGCGAGGTGACCCACTGCGTTCTGGGCAAGAGCCTGACCGTGGAGACCTGGAGGCCCGACGGCCGGACCCTGTTCACCAAGGCCCTGCCGCCCTTTCTTTTCAAAGATGGCCACAGAGCTTCTCGAGTGCTACTTGGAGGTGTATGGTCGGACCCCGTTCGCCAAGACCTAGCCACGTCGCCTTTGAAGCATTCGGTCGAAGCGTCTCGAGTGTTTGCGGAACGCCGGTTGTGAGGAAGAAGTTCAAGAGGTGCTCTTGGTTGCTTCAGTTTCTTGCGGCCTCGAGTCCTCCCTCCCTCACTCCCTCTTCCCCTCTCGTCCTCTGATCTGCAACTGCTGCACTGTCTCAGATTGCCACGCTCCGCCAAGTTGATCCAATACCTCACGTTTGAGTGAGGTTCCAGGCCCGGCCAGTTGAGAGCCTCAGCGTTCCACGAACGCGAAAACATGAAAGCGAGGGTCTAGGCCGTTCAACCGTGAAGCGCCATTCCGCAAACAGTGCTTGCACTAAGCGATGTTTACTTGAATGGAAAGGAGTTTGACATTGTTGATGGGATTCGCCCTGGTGCTCTTTCGGTGGTGGTCTATGGCTGGTGCTCTATGATGCCTCAGTTGTCAGAGTTTTTCGTTCCTGTCCTGTTACTGTATGTGTGGATCCCTATGGCTGGTGCCCTGTTCCAACGGTTGGGATTTGTTGTTCTCGCCCTGCTGGACTATGGGTCGTGCCCCTTGGCCTGTGCCCTGAGATGTTTTGAGCTCCCTTGCTGGAAACTGTAGCATCTGAGCCGCTATTCGAGTCGAGCTGGATGGACGTGGCAGTAACATGGGATGCGCGACCGTCTTCAAGCAGGAAAGCGAACGCTCCGTTGGAGGACCATTCCAGGCGTCGAGGATGATGATGATGCTGATGATGCTGATGATGATACTGATGCTCATGATGCTGATGGTGATGCTGGTGCGGATTATGATGTTGATGTTGATTATGGTGATGCTGATGGCGATGATGAGTATGATGACGATTATGATGTTGATGAGGATGATGAGTGTAGCGATGCTGATTGTGTTTATGATGATGTCGATGATGATGAGCATGATGATGCTTATGATGATGATGTTGATGGTGATGACGATGCTGATGCTGCTGACGATGGTGTTTCTGATGATGGTGGTTCTGATGATGGTGATGAAGACGATGCTGTTGATGATGATGATGCTGCTGTCCATGATGATGATGATGATGATGATGATGATGATGAGGAGGAGGAGGAGGAGGAGGAGGAGGAGGAGGAGGAGGAGGGGGAGAAGGAGGAGGAGGAGGAGACGGGGAAGGAAGATGGAGGAATAGCAGGAAACATGAGTAAGATAATGAGGGAGTGAGAGAAAGAGAGATGCCGGTTGATGAGGCGGGAGGAAGGCAGGATTGATGCAGAGCCCATCAGTCTCGCCTGTGCTTGCAGAGACCGTTTTCTTCGGGGGAAGGGGTCCATGCTTTGGTACACCGTTTGTCCTTCCACGCCCGGCCGTGATTTCAGCGACTTCGCTCGAGAACAGCAAACGAGATGGTAGCTCAGGATGTCGGAGTGTCAAGCGGTGATGAGGGGCATGCGGGGAGGAACACGTTCCACCACCACCAACCATCAAGTCCCCACGTTACTAATTCAGGTCTAGACCTTCATGGTGAACATTTCTTCTCATCCAGGCCTGAAGCCGATATCCACCAAGATATGTGGAGGCTTGGTGGTGGTGGACAGCTTGCTTACATCTGCCGACCCCTATATAAACTATCGCGCCTCCAGGACTGCATTTCACGAGGCTTGTTAGAATCATGACACGGCGCTCGACATCGTTCCTGTTGTTTCGCTGTTGTTATCGTACCTCTTGGTGCTTTTTTGTTGCCTTTTGGTGGCATCTTGGCTTGTCTGCAGGCCATATCTGGCCGCCTGAGGCATCTTGGGTCAAGTTTTGGGGCCGCTTGGGGGCCTCCTGAGGCCTCTTGGAGGCCTTGGAGGTTCTCTTGGGGGTCCCTCAGGGCCTCTTGGGCTATTCTTGGAGCAGGCTGGGAGCGTCTTGGGGCCGAAGGCTCGAAAAGGTGCCATCTGGACTCCGTCTTGGAGCCGTGTGGGGGCCCTCTTGGGCTGTCTTGGGGGATTCGTGGGCTGTTGTTGGACCCTCTTCGACCCTTCTTGAGGGCCCCTTTGGCCGTCTGGGGGCGATATTGAATGTTTCTTTGCCCGTCTTGGACGTTCTGAAGACCGAATCGGCGAGCATGCGACAAGTGCTTATTAATCGCTTCGCTCATTCCGCCGGCCCATACGGTCTCATGTCTGCCGTTTGCCCGAGGGCCTGGTGTCAATGCGGCGCTTTGGGGGTTCCTGGGGCCGCTTGGGGGACTCCTGGGGCGCTCGGGGGGGCATTTGGGGGGCCTCCTGGGGCCGCTTGGGGGACTCTTGGGGGCCTCCTGAGGGCCTCGTGGGGGCCTTTTGGGGCCTCTTAGGGGCCTCGTAGGGGCTTCTTAGGGCCGAGGGCTCGAAATTTTGTTTCGTGTTCCCTCTCTGGGGCCCCTTTGGGGGTGTTCTTGGGGCCCTCTTGGACCGTCTTGGAGGCTTCTTGGGCCGTCTTCGAGCCCTCTTGGGCCATCTTGGGGCCCTCTTGGGGGCCTCTTGGGCCCTCTTGGGGCGATCTTGGGGGCCTCTGGGGCCGTCTTGGGGCGTCGGGAACCGAAAAGGTGGAAGCTCCAAAATCTTTCAAAAACCTAAGGAAAAACAATGAATTTTGCCTCCGGGGGCCCTCTTGGGAGTGCTCTTGGAGGCCTCTTGGGGCGTCTGGGGGCTATCTTGGGCGTCTTGGAGCGATCTTGTGGCATGTCGGACCCCTCGTGTACCATCTTGGGGGCCTCTTGGGGGCCTCTTGGCCTTTCTTGGGGCTCTCGGGGACGTCTCGGAGCCCTGTTGGTGCGCTCATGGAGCGCTCCTGGAGCGCTCTGGGGGACTCCTCCCGGGACTCTCTCAGGACCTTGCCGGGGTACTTTTCGTCCGGGGACCCCCAGGGGCCGCCCCGCGCGCGCGAACTAGAGAATTGTTAACCAGTTACCGGAGATCTTAGCACGCCTCTGGCCCGTTGGGCCGGCGAATTTGTCGAGAGGAGTGGGACGATGCCTGTTTCTTGGGACCCTCTTGGGGTGCATCTCGGGGGCCTTTTGGAGCGTCTTGGCAGCTTCGGAGGCCGTCTGGATGCCATCGTGGGCGTCCAGTGCGATATTTCGGCGAATCGTTGCCCCCTGGGACCGTCTGGGGAGCGTTTGGGTGCCTTCTTGGCTAGTTTTGGAGCCCTCCGCTCCTCCGTGGCGCGTTCGGTCCAGGGTCGCGCTTGGCCCGGGGCCCGGGGGGGTGGGTCAAATTGCCGGTTCGGGGTCCCTGGGGGGGGATAATGGGGGGATAGTGCCACACGCTTAAAGACCCACAAGGGGTAGGCGGATTCGATCGACGACTGTACAAACTGTGCTCTGGATCTGGACTCAAGGGTAGCGTCTGGACAGTCAGGTGGAGCAGAATGGCCCCCACGCGCCAGGGCCTCATCCGGAAGTCGCAGCTGGGTGACAGGTGCGTGCCCGCCAATCCCCCGTCAAAAAAGAGGGGCTCGCGGACCGCAGCGGAGACGTCCCTGTCATACCTGGCGCCGTGCTGGCGCCCCTTCGGCGCCCGAGCAGAGGAGGAGTGAGGAGGACAATTGAGGAAAAGGGGTCGGGAGGAGTCGGGGGGGAGGAGCGAGGAGAAGTCAGCAGGAGGAGGAGTGTGGAGGACGAGGAGGAGGATGAGGAGGAGGTCGAGGAAGAGTGAGGAAAGTGAGGAGGAGGAGGAGGGGAAGGAGGAGCATTTCACGGACAGCATTTTCATACCAAAACAAGTTTGTCGACGATACGCAAAGGCAACCATTCGCAGCTGTGAGTTCAATGATTACGTGCTAAGGGTTCGCTTCGGCCAGACAGTTCAATACAGCATCTTCGTTACGCGTGCGCGCACCATTTTCGGTGGATTGCGCATCTCACATCACACTTTCGTTTTATGGGGATCGTAGTATTCCTTACCTAGGCTCTGCCTAGAAGGGTTCTTACTCGGTGTGCTTAAAGGGCCGGGCAGTGTTCCACGCCCCGGGCGGTTCCCCCAGTATCCGCCCCGCGGTTCCCCCCGTTACGTCCCCTTAGCTTAGCGTTGCTTATCTAATCTTAGCCCAGCGTATTTCATCTTGTCTTAGCTTAATTTCATCTTAGCTCAGGTTTAACTTAGCTAGCTCACCTTCGTCTTAACTTCGCTGAGCTTTATCATAGCAGAGCACGACATCGCATATCATAGCGTAGCATAGTATAGCGCAGCACAGCATATCATAGCATAGCCCAGCATAGCATCGCATAGCATAGCATAGCGCGACGTATCATATCATATCATAGCATAGCACAGCTTAGCATAACACAGCGCAGCATGACACAACATATCTCAGTATATCATATCATAGCACATCATAGCATAGCATAACATAGCGCATTATACCATGTCATAACATATCATAGCATAACATAGCAACGAATGCTGCTTTCCTAGGGGCTCCAACTTCTAGGTAGGGTCGCACTGGGATTTGTTTTAGTAGAAAGTAGTTTTTCAATCACAGTAGGGCCTTTGTGCGCAGTTCTGTAATGAGATAAGTATGATACTATTGGGGCGGTAATAACTTGTTATTGCAAGTCGTAGGTCGGCGCCCCCAGGCGGGAGTGTCCCGCCGTCGGCGCCTCGCGCGATGGCGGGCGGCTGCGTGACCACCCGCCGGGGGCCGCCGCTCCGTCGGGCGGGCCAGGCTCCCGCGCGGGCATGCTGGCGTGCCGCGCGGCCGTGCGTCGGTGTCCTTCCTCCCTCTGCCCCTCCATGCACGGTCGAATTGTCTCCTTTCTGTCGCCTGGCCGCGGGGCGGGGTATCAAGTGCCCGGCCATGTCTGCTGCGCCCCACCTGCCTTGTGTACGCTCTGAGGTGGGGCGGCTGGCCAGGGCGTTGTCCTCTGCCTGCCAGAGCGCCGCGTTGGACCACCCCTGGGGCGACGCGCGGCGCGTCCGTTCGCCAGAACGCGCCGGGCGCGACCGCGGTCGCTCGCCCCGCGGACAGCTGAGAACGAATTCGATCGCGCCGCCAAGGTAGCTCGCGCAAGCCAGTGCGGCACGATCGCGCGCGGTCGTTGTGTCGCAGGCGCAGGGGCAGGGCACGCAGGCCACGCCCTCGGGCACCGGCCGCGGCAGCGGCCGGTTGCGACGAGCGAAGGCGCGGCGGAGGCGCGCTCTTCGCACTCCGGCGCGTCGTGGCACAGCGGCGGCTGGGGCCGCTCCGCCGCATGGAACAACGGCGCGCTCGGCAGCGCGAAGCGGGGCGCGCCTGTCGCGCCGCGCACGCCGCCCCGGCCCGCGAAATGGGCGAAGAAGTGAGGGGGGCGCAAGACGCCCCCATGCGAGGTGCATTCGCTGCTAGCGCAGTTTTGTCGAGGCTTGTTCTCGCTTGAGAAGTTGATTTAGCTCGCCCGCCATGGCGGCGCCGTCCAGCGCGGTTTCTGGCGCGGTTTCTTTTGCGACGGGGCAATGCGAGATGGGGCGGGACAGGAAGGCGCGCGCGGCGCCGCGCGCGTCGGACGCGACCGCGGTCGCCCGCCCGTCGCAGGCGCGCGAGAAGTTGGTGCACTTGCTGGTCAAAGGGGCGGGCCCCATGTGGCGCCCGACGCCCGCGGGCCCGCCTCCGGTTAGACCGGCCCCCCCCCCGCGGGATCCCACGCGACGCAAGGCAATGCCGGCTCGAAGTGATCAGGGCGGAAATGCGTTTCGTCTTGGCCCAGGTCTCGCCGTCCCTGCCGCAGGAAGCGCGGCGCGCCTTCATGGGATTTGCCAGGACCTCGATGGGGGAGGCGCGCGTCGGCGTGGTGAGGGTTCGCGCGCGCGCGCCAGGTCTCTGGGCGACGACGAGGGGTGCCGGGCGCGGCCGCGCGGGGGCGCGCGGCGCGCGCGGCGCTTGGACGCGCGCGGCGACTGGCGCGCTGGGGCGCGCGCGCGCTGCCCCAAAAATGCCCCCTGGCGCGGGTCGGGGGGCGCCCCAAGTCGCGCGCAAGTCGGCGTCGACGCGACGACGCGCCCGCGCGCGATGACGCGCGAGGCGCCGCGTGCTGGAGGCCGCAGCGCCTAGTTCTTCCGGGCCCAGTGCGGCGCCTGGCCTTGGTTCGTTGCAGTTGTGCGATTATTCTGCTCGGCGCGACGCGGCGGGCGCCGCAGCCTCCGCGCCCTTCGGCGAGGCGACGCGCCGCAGCGGGGCCCGCGTGTGCGCGGCGATCGCAGGCTAGAGTGCCGGCGCCAGTTCCGCCCCCGCTCGCAAGCGGGCCGGGCGGCGGGCCGGGGAGGCGTCTGCCGACGCCCCCGGCCTTTGACCGACCGCGGCTGGACCTTTCGGCCAAGAGTGACCTTGGGCGCGACTTTATCTGGCAGGCTCGGGCCGGGACATGTGAATTTGAGAAGTCAGTCACGTCGGCGCCCTTCGTTTCGGACGCGGCTCGCTGGATCGGCGAGCGCGCGCCAGGAGCCGCGCGGCGCATTGGGACTCGGGCCCGCCAGCTCGAGCAGAGTGGCGCCGTCGAGGCATGGCGCCGCGACGCCGGCGCGGGCGCCCGCGGGATCGCCCTGCATGTCGAAGGGCCGTTCTTCGGAGAATTGGCGGCCAGAGTCGGGCGCGTCATTCGCGAATGCGTTTTTTTTTTGTCCGTCGGGCGCGCCCGCGCGCCGCCGCGGTCGGCCGTCGCGCGCCCGTCGGCGCGCGGGCCGTGTTCCCGCTGGCGAGGCCCGTGAAGGACCTCATAGAAGGCGCTAAGGCGGCGAACAAGTGCATGATCGCGCGGTTGCGGTCCGACCCCAACGCGCAAGAGTCGCGAGACCTTGCGAATAAGCATTTCCGACGTTCGCGCATGCGGGTGCCCGGGCGTCGGACCGATGTCGACCTGGGCGGGGTCGTTCTCGCGCCCCTGTTCGGGGTGGAACAGGGCGCCAGCTGCGACGGCGCCCGCGAGGCGCGCGCGCCCGCGCGAGTGCATCCATTCGCGCGAGCAGAACGCGCGCGTCCTGTGGCAAGGTTTGGGCAGTGGACGACTGGCCCATTGCCATTGCAGACATCGACGCCGCAAAGCGTCCGCGTGAACGTATGCGGCACGAAACGGTCGATCACTTGTTCGCGCTTTGCAAACTGTCTATTGGCGAGGTGGCCGCTGCGCCGCGAGTGCGCAAGAGAAACGCGCGCTGGGGTTGCATGCGCCCGAAGTGTCGCGCTTGTTTAAGCTCGACATCGCCGCCGCCGTCCGGCGGCCCCCTTTGCGACCAGAGCATCGGGGACTCTTTCGTGCACATTCGGGGCAGGCGCGCCGACCGCACCCAGCGCGCGCTGTTCCGCGCCTAACTCCCGCGCAGCCGCAAGCGTGCAAAATTGGGAACGCATTGGCGCCTTCATCTGCGCGATACTCCGCGGCATACTTCACGCGGCGTTACTTCGACACGTGGGCGACATGTTCGGAGCCGAAAGATGGGTTGGCGCGAGAGGCCCGTCTGCTGGATGATCGGCTGCATATATTTGCCGCGCGGTTGGTCGAACACCTGTCGGGTTGCATCACGCGCGTCGTGATTAGTCTATTGGGCCGCGCAGGGTGACGAAACGATTCCCCGCGTTGTCCCGCTCGGCATCCTGGGATTTCGCGTCGACCTCTCATCGGAGAGGATGACGTGCGTGCCGCTACCTGAGAAGATCACCACGTGGGCAGCCCGAATCCAGGCGGCGCTCGACTCGGGCACTCTGCGCGCAGGCGTGGGCCTCGGTCCTCCCCCTATCACGCGTTGTCGTGGCTCGCGCGGCCAGGTGATGCCAGCAAGCTGGCGGGCTCGCCGGCATGGGCCTCAGGAGATATGTTCAATCCCGCGGGGCGAGCCATGCTCAGGCGTGCGTTCAACATCGCGGTCGCCGCGTTCCCACCGCGTCAGGCCGATCTTCGCCCGGGCACATCGTAACTCCCCCGACATGCGGCAAGAGCTGCGACTCGTGCTACGGTGGTGGCTGATCGCGCTCGGCGGCGAGCTGGTGCAGTCTCAAATGGCGCGGCGAAGCGGCTGGCCCTGTGGCGCACCTTCTGCGACGCGGCCAGTCGCCCGCCGATGGCGGCCGCCGTATTTTTCATCGACGACAAATGCGTCTGGGCGTGCTTGCCACCCGCCGCCAGGAACGGTTGAGCAGGACAGCAACAGTTGATCGCGTCGCGCGAACAAGCGCTCGCCAGGATCCTAGGGGCGTTCCAGGCCAGAGGGGGTAACCAGATCATGGGCCTGGAGATCCTGGGCGTCGCTCTGGGCCTGTGTTCGTTTGAACACCTGCTTCGCCGTCGGCGTGTCGTGACCTGTTCAGAGAATACAGGCGCAAAGGCCGCCGCCGGCAGCGGCGCCGCGCGCGCGTGTCTCGCGCGCGGCCACTGGGTCAAAATCGCGCACCTGCGGTGCCTCGTCCGCGCGGAGCGGATGCCGACCAGCGAAAATATGGCCGACGACCCGTC